TTATAAATATTATAATTAATAACATTTAATCTATACTCTTAAAATACATATCTAACAAACTCTTTTTTTTTTTTTTCATAAATGTAACTTAACTCTTTCATCAGTTTTTATTTTATTGTAAAAGCAATGAAATGACACTGAAAAAGAGGAAAGGGGGGACACCTTCACATGATCACCTTCTCCCAGGGCACACTGTGTTTCTATTGGTGAACTAACAATAAAAATCTTCTTCCCCTCGCAATAGTTTAAAAGATACAATAGTATATGGTTATGTAAGAATCTCAATGGTCCATCTGGCAGTTTGACTGACATTCAAGCTGATCTTGACTTCCTCTTCCTCACACTTTGAAAACATAATGAATATGAAGCAATTAAATGGGAGATTTCATGTCCGGATTTACCTTTTTTTTTTTCTCTCTTTTTTTAGAAACAAGAAATTCCAAGGGGGTGAAAAATGATATCAATAAAGAAGAAAAAAAAATCTAGGAAACAAAATGGTTTTCTAAGATGATATTTTTCTTCATGTCCATGAAGATCCCAAGAGATGATATGGACATGCAATGTGAGCACCACTTACCTCTAGCTCAAGTGGTAATTTCTTAAGGGAATTTTCTAATTATTTATTTCCCTTCCCCCTTTCATTGAGTTATAGAGCAAGAAAAAGTTTGGTTTGATTACCGACCAAAAATAAAATAAAACAAAATGAATTGTGAAATCTCCATTATATCAAAAATAATAATAAAAAATGTATAGATTAAAGAATGAAATATAAATAAAAAGTTTGTGGAGGCAAATGTTCATTCATCGGCTTCATCACCATGATTTATATATAATTATTATTACAATTAAATACTTATTTTGTTGTTATCTTAACCTAATTTCTTAATTTAATATTTTTTCTTGTTTTTGGTAACTATCTAAATCTACCTCAGAAAAGATACCTTCCAATTTTCTAAATATTATAAGGAGAAATTCATAGCATTTTTTAGGGGTCAATAGCTGTGGTCCATCCTCATCATTAACATTAAAAATTATTTTTTTGAAATATGATTACATCCATTTTCCCCTATTTGTATAATATTTTTGTTAAACAAAGTCAGTCTTTCTTTTCTTCTCCATAAGATAAATTTTGAGTTTTTCCAGGTAATGACAGCTATGCCAAACTCAGAACTTCAAACAATGATTTTAAAGTAATGTAATTTTATACTAGGAGTCTATATACTCTTTAAATTCTACTTTAAATACTCCTCAATTTAGTAAAAGTTTTTCTTATATGCATAATTACATGTATGCTTAAGTTGCATATAAATTTAGTCAAATATGTACCACTAAAATTAATTTGTAGTTGAGTTGGCATCTAATAAAGTTAATACCTCAATTCTTGAATAGTCATTGAAAATTCAAATTACTACAATAGTTAAGTACATTAATTTCATTCATTTTATAAAAACAATATAGACTTAGTTATTGTCAATGACTTAAATAATTATTTAATAGTAATCTTTTTTTGTTAAAAGTATAAAAGATGTTAAAGAGTTTATCTCATATTATGCAATCAACATAAAAAATAAAAAACCAAATAAAGAAAAAAAAGATGGACTTAGTCATTAAATTTACAACATAACACGAATTGACCAAGTTTCAAAAACAGGAAACCCCTTTTTAATTTTTGAGGGTAACATGATATCAGGGAAAATCTTGACCATGTAAAAAGCACTTTTCTCACGTGGGTGATATTTGATAATAAATGATATGCTCACCCTGATATTTTTCAAGTTGATCTATTATTGAACAAACCATGGACAAGTTTGTACCAAAATTTTGAGTATAACTTCCCATACTGCCTGAGAGAAGCATGATGCTAACTTTGCTAACATTGGATATAATCCAACCCAAGGCTAAGAAAGGAAAACCAAATTTACAATAGATTGCATCACCCTGGTCCTGTCTGTTCATCCACTATTCTCCTTTTTGTTTTCTCCTCTTCGTTTTTATTTATAAAAGCTGTTGCTTCCCTCTTTTACTCTCCTTAAGTTTTTTCTTTAGGTAAATACAGAAATCATTCATTCACTTAGAAAAAAGAAGAAAAGAAAACAGAATTTATGATGATATAAAACAAAGTGTTTTTTTTTTTTTTCTTTTCTTTGGGGGTTTGTTTTTTTTTAAAAAAAATTAGGTAATGCATTGCTTACCAAGCCCCCAAAAAAAGGGGTAATATTATTGCTTGCCTTAGCCTACCCTTACATTTGCCTTTTCTAGACAATTTCTTCAAGCCTTGGCAACCTAATTTTACTTGACATTCACTCAAAATAAAAAGACAACAATAAAAAATATAATAATAATATAAAACTTACTTTTTGTATCTAGAAAATTAAAAAAGCAAGAAAGAGAAAGAAAAATCATCTGCCCACTTTCATTTTTTTAAATTATTTTATTATTATTTATGTATCAGATTCCAACCAAAACTCAAATATTAATTTCTTAAGCAAAACCCAAAAATAAAATATTTGCGCTCACAATATCCTAATATAATAAAGTCCCCATTATTGAAAAATATTTTCTTCTTTATTATTTTTTAATCTCAAATTCAGACACTGAAGAAATTTTAGTATTTAGCAAACCCAAAATTAGCTCAATCAGCAAAGACATAAAAACTTCTGTTTATTATCTCACCATTTTTCTTTCAAAAAACCTCAAAATCAAATCTTTTTCTTCTTCATAAATCCCACCCCCCATCATTCAGAAAATACAAATTTTTTTTTTCAGAAAATTAGAAAAACTTTTCTTTGAGCTCTGTTGCAGTTAATTGTCCTCTCTTAAATCCCAAAAATCAACTAAAAAAACCAAGCTTTTTAGCTAAAAAAATCACTGTAAAAGCATCTCTACCACCTCATACTAATCTGTTCAAGGAAAAATTCCATCTTCAATTTATTTTCTTTTTTTCTTTTTTCTTTTTTTGGTCCCTGGTTTTGAACCCAAAAGCTCTAGTCTTTCTTCTTCATATTTTCTGGGTTTTATTTACCAAAAAATATATATATATATTTTTTTTTCTGGGTTTTTCTTCAAAAGTTAGACTTGTTTTTAGTTGATTTTGAGCATAAAATTGTAATGGGTTTTTGATAAAAACCACTATAAAAATTTTGAAGTATTTAAGATTTTACCCATGGAGTCAAGAGAAGCTGTGACCACTACAACTCCAACTGGTGGGGTTACAGTGGTGGGATCCGATGCTCCATCGGACTATCACATCGCCCCAAGAACCGAAAACTTGAACCCGAACCCGACTCAAGCGTCCACCGCACCCCCTCCGCCGCAGACGACGGTGCAACCCCATGCTGGTGCCGCGGGGATTCCGGGGAAGAAGAAGCGTGGAAGGCCCCGAAAGTACGGACCAGACGGCACGGTCACGATGGCCCTCTCTCCAAAACCAATATCTTCAGCAGCACCACCTCCTCTGATTGACTTTTCTACTGGCAAGCGAGGGAAAGTGAAGTCTCCAACCTCGATATCAAAGGCCAAGTTTCAGGTGGAAAATTTAGGTAAGAGATAAATGGTCATTTTCGTTCGTACCCTTTCGAGTTCAAGTGAGTTTGTTGGTGTTTCGATGTTAAAGCTGGGTTCTTGTTGTTTATGGTGATTGGCTTTTTGTGCTGTTTGAATGTATTTTAGATTCAGGGATTGTGTTTTACGTGAGCGACAGTTGGGTAGGAGTGGGACCTTTGAATCGATGGATGCTCTTATTTGAGATCTTAGTAAGTGTTCTTGTGGTAGTGTTGAAAGGATAACGAGTTTTGTTGCTTGGTATATGGGAATTAATGTGTGGAATCTTCCTCTGATGGGTATGGTTATCATCTGCCACTTGGCATCTTGTCTGGGTGGCAAATTTTTTAGAGTGGGTGAGACTGACAGAGTTTGGGTTTACCGGCTAAAGTCTGCAACTGATGTGAGGAAACTTGGGACTATAAGCTTTTCTTTAGCTTCTCTGACTAAGCTTTTATCGGATTGGAAGGGTGGAAGTTGTTTTTATGCCCTGTTAGGTTGTTGAATTCTGAGTTGATGTTTGATTTGTTGGATTAATAGAAGAAATTTTACATATTTCTCTGATAAATTGCATCTTCTCTGTTAAGTGATTCTACCTTTATACTAAGTCGATCTGGACAAATGTCAGGGAATTTTTTTTTTTTTTTTTTGGACTGCTTGGATATGTTTTTGTCAAGTTTCATTATCACTAGTTTAGTTCTCTTGTTTATCATCCCTCAGGTTTCACCGGATTGCATGTAAATTGAGTGCCTTACCATTTTCAATAAGCAAAAAACACAACTTTGAGTTGTAGTACACTGTTAATATGGACATCAAGTTTCAAGATGGTTCATAAAACTTCTACTATATTTGTCTTACGTTGCAGCAATTTGAAGTTAGGGAATGATTTTTTTATTCTTTATTGTTTCTTACAGTCTATAGTTTTTTCTTTTGCTGATAAAGTTCGTTGAAAATTTGTACACTTCTGTAAACATATTTTTATTTGGATATGTGTGAACACATATCTCTTTGGCAATGCATTCACGGCAAATGGACTTTTCAGTGTTTCTGGCATAAGTTCACTATTTATCCTGGTATTCTTTCGCTACATTGTTTCAGCTTTTATGTTGTGGTGAATAACTGCAGACACTTTAATGTTGTTTCTGTTGTCTGTTTATCATATCCATCAAAATGGGATAAATTGGAGGATTGAAATGTTAATTTTGTTTTCCTCCCCTTCATTTACCCTTATAACTATTTGCCGTCTTCACACAATAATCATTGGGAAGATAAATTAAAGATGTTAATCAATTGCATTCTTTTTAACAAAGAGAACTTTTACATCCTTGGTACTGATTTTATAGGGCTTTCCTCTTTGTAGGTGAATGGGTTGCGTGCTCTGTCGGTGCAAATTTTACACCTCATATTATCACTGTTAATGCTGGCGAGGTATGTTATAAACATTGGTGAACTTATTAGTCCTGCATTGACAAGTCAAGATGTTTTACAGTCTTAATCTTAGTTGCATCTAGGCAACACTAGACTTTCATGAGTAGAGCAAAATGGTTGACCTCTGTGAACATTATTCTTAACGTGGCATCTGATCATTCCTAAAACTCATTGAAATAATTAATTATAAAGACAAATAATGAAAACAATACCAAACTGCCAATTGGTGAATTATTCCACTAAAATGAATTCTACTTTACTAATGTGGCCAAAGAACAAATGAAGTCCTCCCAAATGAATTGTTGTAGTTGTTGCTTTGAAATCTCACTCTTGCTTCATCAAGAACTTGCTCTTGGTACTATAGTGATTTTGTTTTTGGTTGTTTTAGGATGTGACAATGAAGGTCATATCATTTTCTCAACAAGGACCTCGGGCAATATGCATTCTCTCAGCAAATGGTGTGATCTCGAGTGTTACACTTCGTCAGCCTGATTCTTCTGGGGGTACATTGACATATGAGGTGATCCCTTTTATGTTTAATCAAAACCAATCTACTTTATTCTTCTAGATGTCATGACATTTAAGAAGCATATGATATGAGTTTAATGTGCTAGTATTTTGGCTCCCAGTTTTGTGGATATGAATTGAAATGTTAAAACTAGTAGAATTAAGTCTACCACTCTTAGGGTTCATTTATTGAGTATATGTCAAGTCTCATTGCATTGGAGAATATTAGGTGCTAAGTTATGTTCCTTGAAACAGCCATCTAGAGCTAGATAACTTAACAGATAATTATTTTTGTTAAATAATGATATTCTGACTGTTAATTGGGATGACTTCTTCAAGAGATTTGGTTTATAATCTGAGGCTGACAGCACAGTTTTACTGGATTCAGTGGCAGATCTCTTTCTGTATTATAAGAAGCATGCCTATAGGCTTGTGTTATTGACATCCCATCTTTTCTCATTATTCTTGCAGGGTCGTTTTGAGATTTTGTCCTTGTCAGGTTCATTCATGCCCAGTGACGTTGGAGGAGCAAGGAGCCGATCTGGTGGGATGAGCGTTTCTTTAGCTAGTCCAGATGGCCGTGTCGTAGGTGGTGGAGTTGCTGGCCTGTTAATAGCTGCTAGTCCCGTGCAGGTCTCATTTTTCATCCCACAGCCGCTTCCTTTCTTTTTGTGGTTTTCCTTCCCTACTTGCTTTTAATACAAAAATTAAGCTACGGGAGAGAATCCCATGATTGGTGATCTTAATTAGTAAATATTTCCCCTTTTTCTTGTTTGAACCAGGTGGTAGTAGGAAGCTTTCTGGCAGGGGACCAACATGAGCAGAAACAAAAGAAACAGAAACACGAGACAATAACATCTGGCACACTAATTGCTGCAATTCCTGTTTCTAGTGCTGATCCAAGACCCAACATCTCATCTCCATCCTTCCACAGCGATGACTGGTCCTCATTGCCTTCAGATACAAGAAATAAACCCACTGACATCAAGGTATCTGTGTCTGGAAGCTAATCCATGGGTCCTCACTCTACTGACCACATCGGCTATCAATCTCCAATACCCAAATCTCACCTCATGTTGTTTGTTTAATCCTTGTAAGATTTATTATGTTTTGCCACCAGTATCGACATCTCTCATTTTTCATATGGGGAGTTTACTTACCCCATTTATCTTCAATAGTATTTTAGTGAGTTAGCTGATTAGTTAGGATTCTGCCCCTGTTGTGTCATGTAGAATATTTTGATGTAATTTTTACTCTTAATTGGCTTCCTTTTTTCAGAGTGATGGATTGTGATTTGGAAAACTATTTGTCTTTCAAACATTCTTATTTCATTTCTTATTTGGAGCCACTAATTACTTTGCTTCTTCCACGTTGCAATGGTGCAAATTTCAGACACAATTTAGGTATTCTAAGTTTCAGATTATAGAAACACTAGTTGTAGTTGGGAAGTCAACA